ACCCCCGAGCTATAGCACCGACGCTTTAACCCACTAGGCCACAGACCTGATTTACTAATCCTTTGATTCTTAACGTATATAGCTGTATGAATATTATTATTATCCCCGTCACATATTTCCGCGCATGCGCATTTATTATCTAAATTTTTCAAAAAATAAATATTGAAAAAAGGCCCTGGAGAGATTCGAACTCTCGATCTCCGTAATTAACGGAATTACGGTATATCTTCCAAACTGAATTATACCTTCAACACCCCACCCTGATAAATTTTATCATTCCCACTTATATGAGATCATTATACCACCTTAGACCCCAAAATAATTTTATTCATACCACTAAAATCATTATTAATTTAAATCACATCGTATTCAACTGTCATGACATCAGCATCTATATTTTAATTAATATTATCTCTGTTTTAATACTTCGCTTAATACTACTACTACTTAATAAGTACAAACAGTTCTATTCTTCGTTTTTAATTAATTCAAAGAGTCTTTAACTACATAATGGATTCCCAATCATGTAAGAATATTTTATATTATATTATATTATATTATATTATATTATATTATATTATATTATGGTATGATACATTTTTTTTTTATTCAGTCAATGAAATATTACATATCGTTTTAAAAAAATCGTTGGGAGAGAAATTAGAAGCAACATGTGGAGTAAATTGCACTATATCAGACATGTGCAAGCAATGCAGGATAAAAAAGGGTAACTTCTGTAAAAATTATCACTTAGTTAATAGTTTCAAAGTGGTTGAAATTATAAGTCGTAAATTTGGTAAATGTGAAATAGTGTGGTTAGTAGATGATATTGCAACATATTCAGGGTTTGATTTTGAAGTGTTATTACGTGAGTTGTATGAGAAAGTGTATAGGATGCGATAGTGGACATGATTTCTGGAAGAAGAAAATTACTAGAAAAAGCATAACACATAACAAGCCGACTGTAAGTGAGAATTATTGGAATAATTTAATTTATATGATATTAAAATTAAAATGTGAAGAAAATAATATTACAATAAATAAGTATGATTTACCTATAAAAACAAATAAAATTGTCCACAAAAATGTATTTTTAGATTCCTTAGGTATACATTACGATTATAACAAGTACTACTCTGGAAAATCATCGCCATATCAATTTCGGGTCAAGTACAGCTGAAATTTGGTAGAATCTACTTTCTGTGAGAGCACGCTTCGGAAATGGAGAAGAGATGAACCGTCATATGGATACATATGAAGATGATGAAGAGCTTAATCGTTATATGGATACGTATGAATGTTTGTACCATGTGATATGTTAAAAAAAAAAGTTTTTTGTAATATTGTTTAAAATATAATCTTTTACAATTTATACACATACTCTTATTATTTATTATTATATTATTATTATTATTATTTTAGTTCCAAATAATATTATCGACATATGGTCACATTTCCTAGTATGTTAGCAGCTATAAGGTTTCTTCAAGCGCTGGATTTAAATCTATTGTAATCGTAATGGATACATCTCCTATTGTCAGCGGAACGACCTGTTTTCGACCGGTCTTTTGTCAACACGCACAGGCGAATTCCTGGAAATTGTACTGATGTTTCCTAAAATAATTGGTAATAACTAGTGATGTACACATTTATCATAGTAAATACCCGATTAATATTTTGGTAACCCGCGGCTTGAAATGCTATCCTCACCAAAAATGTCGAGATTTCTGGACACTCGCTCCGTTGTCCACCAAGACATAGTCAGTCTGTTCCAGACACCCATACCTTTACGCGCACTTTGCCTTTGCTCTCTCCGTGTTTTCACAGTCCTTACTCAACAGTTTTTACAATTTTTTCAAGTGTTTAATTTTGCAAGTGTTTTAAACACTATATTATTTTTCATCTCGTTTTTATTTCAAACATTTTAATCATGTTTAAATGCGAACAGTGTCCGTCGGTTTTCACCGCAAAACGTAATTTGGTCAGACATGGCAAAACTCATGCGGGCATACGTTTCCCATGCACTGTATGCGATAAATTGTTCAACGATAAGTCGCATCTTAAAAGGCATATGAAGAACATTCATGGTATGTATAGAAATTGTATACGTTTTATGTAATCTTTTACAATATTAATTTATATTATTTTTTCTAAGGTATCGTAAACGTTCCGGCTCACTTGAGGCCTATACCTGCTGCCCCGATCACCACTCAACCAGCTCCAGCTCAACAGGTCCAGATTGCGCCGCAAATATTTGTACCTGATGCCCCGGCCGGTGGCTCCAACATGTTAACCGAAGACGAAATATGTATGAACGCAATGGATGAATTTGAGGATACAGGTTAGTTTTATTTATAAGAATTAGATTTTTAAAAGACCCGCTGATTTTAACGGATCATTTTTAAAAAGATATACCGACAAATATTATTGCTCGACCAATTAGATTTTTAAAAATAATTGTCGTTAAATAGATTTTTAAAATTCATCAAATTATCGTACAACACATTTTAAATATAAATTATATATTTTTTATTTTAAACTTATCAAGTGGTCTGTGAAGCGATCAATGGTATAATAGTTGGAGTATTCCGGCATTATATCGATCAATTCACACGTCGCATCCTATGGGGTAATAGTTGGAGTATTCCGGCATTGCACCGGTTGTCAGATCGTTTGATAGATTTAATTTTTTCATCGCGTGATTTTATTATATGTCAACATTTGTTATATCAGTAGATTTTTTAAGATTCGTGAGGATAATTAGATTTCTATTAGATTAGTCAATTTATTATTTTCATTAGATATTAATATTAGGTTTTTTTAAAGATTCTTACACCGTTACCGTCAACGGGAAACGTGTTTCGAGTGCCAACACCACCTCAGCTGCTAGGGCAAAAAAGACGCGTATGGATATAGTGAAGGTCCCCGGGTTCGTAGAAATTTTGTCGTCTGCGAGCCGTAAAATCGTATGGTACTATGCAAAAAATATAGGCAATACAACGATTTATTCCGACTTTCTTCGACCCCTCATGCCCGAGATTGAAAATTTATTAAAGACCAGAGTTCAACAAGGGCCAATAAAATTTAATTTGAAACTCGAAGCTACGTACAACCGGCCCAACGTCCCCAATTCGTCGGAGAACCGGGCATTTAAGACAGTGGCAGTAGAAATTTTCTCAGATAGTGACATTAGTACGATCATTGAGAGGGCGTATATAAAGTTGTTGAAGGAGGAGGAGGAGTATAAGTCGCGCGGTAGTGGATTTACTCTGGAGACAATAGACGGCTTATTATTAGGAATATACAATTACACACCAATGACTGGGTCGTCATATATTGAATTACCGGCGTATACCGATAGGAAGCGGGCCACCATCAACCCCAAAAACTCGGACCAGCAATGTTTTAAGTGGGCAATTTTAGCTAGACATGTGACTGGGCCGTCGGCATTTCGTGTGGAGGGGGATAAATATAGTCGGCATGAGGGCAAGTACGATTTTAACGGTATTTCGTTCCCGACACCTTTGTCTGATATTACAAAATTCGAAAAAAATAATATCAACGTGTCCATTAACGTCTATGGAGTAGAGAAAAAGTTCCAGCCACCGCGTAAATATCCGACGTACGAGGTGTATCCGTTACGTGTGGTCGACGAGGAGAAATTAGACCACTTCGACCTGCTATTGGTGACGGACGGCGACAATGTACATTATATATATATCTCAAATTTTTCCCGGCTCGTACGTGCGCAGAAAACGAGACACAATGGGAGTGTCATTTTTTGTAAAAGGTGCTTCACGTCATTCGACAGTCAAAATTGTAAATACAAGCTGAGCGGACAAGAGGCCCTGGACCAACACAAATTGATTTGTGAGGCGCACAAACCAATTTTACCCGAGATGCCGAAGGAGGGTGATTGTGTTGAGTTCAGGGCGTGGAAAAAAACGGTTAGGCACACGTTAGTTATATACGCAGATTTTGAGTCATTGCTGGTGAAGACGGAGGAAAAGAGGGGCGATAGTACCACAGTTACGCAGAAACACGAAGCTATGAGCTACGGGTTTTTGGTGAAGGCGAGCGATGACGTACCGGCGGAATTATTGGCGGAGTACGAGATACCGGCGGGGCCGGTAATCTATAGAGGCAGCGAAGACAGGACGGATGTGGTGAAACATTTTGTGGAGTCGATTGTTGAGGTGGCCCTGAAAATCGAAAATCTGATGAAGACGAATACCCCCATAATCATAAGCGAGGACGAAGAAAAAACACATCAAGAGTGTATAGAGTGTAACTTATGCAAATGCATATTAGTCGGGGGCGATAAGGTTAGGGATCATGATCATTTAACGGTCAAATTTAGGCAGACCTTGTGCTCTAGGTGTAACTTAGAGTTGCAACAGCCTAAATTTGTCCCTGTCTTTTTTCATAATCTCACAAACTACGACTCGCACTTCATAATCACTGAACTTGGGTATGATACTCATACTATCAACGTTATACCGAACAGTGAGGAGAAATTTATATCTTTCTCGAAATATATAAGTAGTACCTTCACTGTTCGGTTTATCGACACGTTCAGGTTTATGGCGTCGCGTCTGTCGTCCCTGGCCGAAAATTTAGTTACACCCGAACATGAGAACTTCCGTGAGACAGCCAAACATTTTGTCGCCGGAGATATGCCGCTCGTGACTCGTAAGGGGGTGTACCCGTACGAGTACACGGATAGTTGGGAGTGGCTGGAGGAGACGAGGTTACCGAGGAAGAGAGAATTTTATAGTACATTGACAGAGACCGGGATTAAAGAGAAGGAGTTTGAACACGTGAAGGAGGTCTGGGACCACTTCGGGTGTACGACGTTGGGAGAGTACAGCGATCTATACCTTAAAATCGATGTGTTGTTGTTGGCGGACGTTTTTGAAAACTTCCGCGACGTGTGCATGAGGGCGTATAACCTGGACGCCGCTCATTATTTCACCGCCCCAGGCTTAAGTTTCGATGCGATGCTTAAGTTCACGGGGCAAAAGCTGCAGTTGCTGGACGATTATGATATGTTGTTGATGTTCGAGAATGGTCAGTATATTATTTTTTTTTTTTTTTAAATTAATATATAATAATCTTATATTTTTTTTTTTTATAGGCATACGTGGAGGATTGGTGCAGGCAAGTAAGAGGTACGCGAGGGCTAATAATGACAAGACCCCGGATTATGACGAGACAAAAGATAAATCATGGATAATATATCAGGACTGTAAGTATATTTTTTCAAAACGTATTATTATATATCATACTTATTATTTTTTATAAGTAACAACTTGTACGGATGGGCTATGTCACAGTGCATGCCGTACGGTGGGTTCAAGTGGGTTGAACCTACGTTAAACGGATTGGATGATTTGGATGACACCTCCCCAATAGGACGAGTGTATGAGGTGGACGTGATGTACCCACGACACCTACACAACGAACATAACGACCTGCCTTTCCTACCACAAAATAGTGTGCCGCGTGGTTCGAAGGTTAGGAAGTTGATGGCAACGTTCGAAAAGAAGAAGAATTACGTTATACATTACAGAAATCTACAGCAGGCGATTAAGAATGGGCTGATAGTTGAAAAAGTAAATATTTGTATTTTATATGGTTTTAATCAGATTTTTAACATTTTTCTTATTTTTTATAGGTGCACAGAGTTATTCACTTTAACCAGTCAGATTGGCTGGCTAAATATATTAAGTTGAATACAGAGATGAGGAAAAGAGCTACAAACGCGTTTGAGAAAGATTTTTTTAAGCTGATGAACAACGCTGTATTTGGTATGTTACTTTATTTATACTACTTAAACATTTTTACCAACATTTTTATTTTTTCAGGGAAGACTATGCAATCGAAGAGGAAGGAGATGAAGATGGAGTTGGTGTCATGCGAATGGAGGTTACAGAAATTGATAAATAAGAGCACATTCAAGTATTGTACTAATTACAATGAGAACCTGAACGCTGTCGCACTGGAGAACAAAATTATTAAATTTGATAAACCTATATATATTGGTAAATATACTTTTTTAAATTACACTTTTATCATTTATTAACACATTTATTATTTACAGGATTCGCTGTACTAGATATTTCAAAAACAATGATGTATGATTATCACTATAATGTTATGCAGAGACATTATGGAGACAAAATTAAATTGATGTACACTGACACAGGTAAATATACTAAAACTATTCTCCTGTATATAATATATTAATTTAACGTTATTTTTCCAGATTCATTGATATATTATATTGAAACCCAAGATTTTTATGTAGACTTGGCTGCTAATTCTAATCTACTGGACCGGATGGACACTGCTAACCTGCCTCGTGACCACCCATGTTATATAGCAGATAGAAAGAAGGAGCCGGGACTCTTTTCCGATGAGGTACACTCTAAAATTATTACAGAGTTTGTTGCGTTGAGGGCCAAGTCATACGCGTTCAATGTATATGCTGGACCAGAAGACAGAGTAGGACTAGAGAAAATTAAAGCGAAGGGTATCAGGTCTCATGTGGTTAAAAACCACATGACATTGGAAGATCATAGGAAGTGTTTGTTTGGGGAAGAAGGATTAGAGGCTTACAAGGAGAATGTGTCAATACGGTCGTTTAACCACCAATTCATGACGATAAAGACCAAGAAGTTAACGTACAACAATTATGACGATAAGAGAGTGGTGTTAGAGGACAAAATACACTTACTAGCCCATGGGCATTATAGTATAGAGTAAGTTATTACAAAATATATATATTTAAATTATTTTTCTAACATTTTCTCTTAATTTTACAGAGAAGATGACATATGGCCAGAACTTGAGGAAGATGGAGGGAGCTGGAACGAGGAAGAGAAAGGATTAATTCTCATTACACAACCTGATTTTATATATTTTCTGTTAATTAGTCTTATTGTAAATATTACCATGTTATATAGTTTGTTATATATTGTAAATATTATCATGTTATATAATTATACTTGAGATAGATTAATGTAAACTTTTGTAAATGCAACACATTCAATTGAACTTATTGTAAATAATATATATGTTTATTAGTTGTACGTTAGATTAGTTTATTTCTTGTATATATTTTTGTAAACGCATCACATAAAATTGAAATTATTGTAAATAATATGTATGTTTTATTAGTTGTAAGTTAGATTATTGTATAAACTTTTAGTTTTTCCTGTTTATAATGTGCAATTGTTAGATGTTTAAGTTTTTTATGTATAATTGGTAGATATTTAAGTTTTTTTTTATGTTTATAATGTACAATTGGTAGATATTTAAGTTTTTTTATGTTTATAATGTATAATTGGTAGATAATTAAGTTGTTTTTCTGTTTCAGGTGGATGGAAGCCAATATATTTAATTAAAAAACCTTGTAAATGCAAACATAAATATGTTAACATATAAATTTAAAAAAAAACAATGTTAAAATATAATTATGTTTATTAAATAAAATGTATACAATCATATTTTTAAGAATTATTTATAAACCATTTCCTTATAGCAAATACTTTATAGAATGTACATTGTTTTGGATTAAATTCCATATGAAAAATACAGCAAGATGGAGTTTCATCATCACATATTTGGTCCAAACGTGAGCATCCAAGGTCTTCGATGTTGATTAGTGCAACTTGAGGTATAAATTCTGTAAGCAGCTGTTTTTTCTGCTCACCTTTGACGTAAATGCATGAGAACTTTAAAGAGTTCAATATTCTACTTAGTTCTTCATACTCAACATCACCATATTCTATAGTAAGTTTATGATAGTTATGTTCCAACCACTTATTAGTTTTTCGACTCTTGTTGTCCTGTTTAGATTTTGAATTTTTAAAAATCCAGTGTTGGTTGGCCCATGTTTCAGTGTCCACTATAGATAATTCTTTAATAAAATATTTATTGCCTGCTCCAAGAACGAATTGCATGTCTGCGATGGCCGACGACATAATTTCAGGCAAAAGACTACCAAACACGATGGTGTATACAGCTCGACTGAAATTATTTTTCAATACCGCATGACTCTAACAAACTATTTTATTTTTGTTAAATCAAGTTTTCGTAATATTTTTGCCTTCCAGGATTAACAAACGTGAATTTAATTCTGAAATATATGTTCCGTGATTCGGCAATGAATTTTCATCAAATATTCCGGTTATACGATTTATTTCAGCTTTTAATTGGATCACGTCAAGTATATAGATAGCGATCGCTGTACTGTTGTCAGCACAGTCATTAAATAGCTTCGACATACGATTTTCACAATTTAATAAAGACTTATTACTTGATTGTATATTATTTTCAAGCAATTGTATCTTATCACATAGATTAACAATATTACTTTTCAGAGTGTCAATTTCTTTTTGTTGAAGTTTCACATCGTTTACAATTGTTTTGTTACTTGATTGAATATCTGATATAATTCTTTTAGCATCGCTCGCCTGAGAACTACCGAACACGTTCATAGTTATAAAACGACTGACACTATTTTTTGACATCACGTGTATTTATCCAACTATTGTGGGTATTATCGAATCCTAACCACTTGACGTACATTTGATTCTGTTTTTTACGTATAATTTTTTCAATTAAATATTCGTTTGGGAAATTGGTCTTGTATATTTCTTCAGAGTAAAAACAACCAGCTATAGGTTTACCCATATAATCTTGTAGTTGATAAGTAACGGGTAATGTTTTATTTATTTTGATAATCTCAAATATTTCCGTAGACCAGTTTGGTAAATAACCTTTTATGAACACGCCCTTTTGTGTACTGATACGAACGTTATCACCAACTTTAAACTTAATTTTTACAGTATTTGTTCGAACGCGGAACGGGTTTGCCGCCAAAACAAAGGCAAAAGCACGGACACTCCAAGTCACGTTAGACGTCGAAGCTCCGAGCGACGCTTTCCCCCTCCGTAGTCCCGCGCCGCCGTCGACGGCCGTCGAGCTGGCCATCGGCCGTCGTGAACATTATAAAAACTGTCTTTTTCCAACGGCTGAACGAAGCGCAACGTCCGCGCTGTCGTTCCCGTGTGTGTCGCGAAAACCTCGTGTGAGCCCGTGCTGTGATCAGCGGCCACGATCGGTACCTAGTACCTACTTCCGAAGTACGTTTTTCTCGCGTTTTAATAGTCGTCGCGGTACGTACTTGTTACTACATCGAGTGATACAGTAAAAGTCGCGTGTGAACACGCGTGTTTTGTCCGTCGTGATCGACGTGTGACGCTAAGCTCACATCGAGTCCGTTTTTCGTGTATTTACGCCGTGCGCGTGTTTTACTCTACCCTCCGCGTGATCGCGAGTGTTTTGCCACGGAAAGACGTAAATATATTATTCGAGTTCGCGTTCGCGCTAGTCGCGTGGAACCACGAGCTATCATCGTCGAGCGACGAGCTGAAGATTTGTCCGCCGTCGCCGTTCCGGCGAGGTACCTACTTTGGTCAGCAGTCAGCACCAAGGATCGACGCAGTCGCCGAGCCACGCAGTAGCCGTCGTCAGGTTTAGTCATTGTTTTTTTTTTGTCCCACGTGTCAGTGGGCTCTTTATAATTATTGTTCACCAGCTATGGTACTTAGTTGTTAATTTATACTATATTATTTTGGGCGCCCGTTATTTGTCATATTTTGTTACACACATTAAACGTGTTTCCGACCTCACATTTGAGTTGTACGCATATATTGAGTAACCCGTCCCCGTTCCAGCCTTCAACACATTACGCAAGTCGTTGCCGACAACCGCACAGTTCGTAGGATCGGTAACGGCGCAACAGTATTTATTTCACGATGTTTTATTACCACCGAAGCGGGGTCGGAATCTGCTTGTATTGGTGTCATTCCTATAGTTCTATGGTATGAATTATTGTATTCGTCAAGTAACATTGGTAAAATTGAAACCCATTCGTGAGAGCCACGGGCAGTGAACTCCTTATACATTTTTCCCTTCAAAGTACGATTGAACCTCTCTGCTATGCTGGCCTTTAGAATACTGAAAGTTGAATATTTGTGTATGCCATACTTGGTCATCAAAGCGTCGAAAGTAGTGTTGTAAAATTCTTTTCCGTTATCGAGTTGTAAAAGTTTCGGTGAACGATCAAGTAATATTGTAGACATTGCACTAGTAACTTCTTTACCTGTCTTAGACTTTAACGGTTTCGCCCAAGAAAACTTTGTAAAACAATCAATCACAACCAGGATGTATTTGTAACCACAATTTACTTTTGAATATGGTATCATTTCAACCAAGTCGGCTTGCCATAAATCATTTTTTCCATAGACGTTAACTCGACGCCTAGTGAAATTTTTCCTTGCTGGTTTGTGAAGTTCGTTAGCGATTTCCCGTTTAGACATCAGGAATTCGCTTTATTAGTCCGGCCTCGTGTAATTCGTCGAAAATCGAAATTATTTCGTTTGAAACGCTTGTATTGCCATCTGCTTTTGACGCGAGAAGCAGACGTAATCGGTCGACCAACTCGTTTGGATTATCCCAATACACTAAGTTATTTTTCTGTAATTTCATAGACAGCTCGCCACCCGATGGGAATAATTTACTAATAATTGTTGAGTATTTAGTGCCACCCTTTTTATTTTATTTCCAACTGTAGATAAATGTACCGATGTTTGAGTTAATATAGATTTATATACCTCTAAATCACCATCAGTAAAAATAAGTGGATTTTTTAAAAATAATAGCTGATTAAGACCCGATGATGATGTGTCAACAGTACCGTCAATAAATATAGTGTTTTCTATAAATTTTACTTCTTTTTTACCCAAGATAATATGGCCGTTTGGAAGTTTTTTCGGACCATAGATTTTATCCAAGTCTGTAGACTGAAACCAATTTTCAATTTCTTGTTGATTGTAGTCCAAAATCGAGGATTTATTGTCAATATTTTCTTTGTTCAATCGAGGTTTATTCGATATTTTAGTTAAAGGATCGATAATTGGTTTTAATGTCTGTGTCATTAATTGTTGAACATTATCAGAACCGGTTTTTAATGCGATATATTTACGTTTAATACTTTCCTTAGCTTTAACTAGCTCATCTAACACAGTAGTTGCTTCCGTCATGACTACGTTTTAAATGATAATATTTATTAGTTGCTTCATCTTATATTACTACAAAAGTATCAAACCCAAAACGATAACGTCCGTTATCACGCTCACTATCTTTGCAAATAACGACAAATGTAAACCCCTCACGGTTCCAACATGTTACACAGAAATGTTTAAATTGTGTGTATGACATGTCCCCAGAACAGTGCTCTTGATATACATGTTTCAAATTGGTCTCATCTTGTTTGAACAATACTATTAAATTCGCGTTGTCACGTATCAACTGTTTTGGTACTTTTGAATAACTCTGGGCCAGATAAAAAATATCTATTTTATTGTGGCGACCTCGAGAAAAATAATCTCTTATTACGTTTTGATGTTCACCAATAACATCGTCCAAGATAAAAATCGAATTTGGTAAAACTTTCTCTGGTGGAATTACTTTATCATTCTCGAAAAAGGTAAAAATGTTCATACCGTCTATTCCATCAATAATACGTTTTAATAATTTATATTTAGGTTGTTCCAGCGTCTTGGAGTATATGTAAACGTTTTCAAATCGTAACCCGTTTTCATCGACTAGTAGAAAATATATCAGATTGGTCTTACCACACCCCGAGCTGCCAAGTACCAACGACCTTATCGTATTTGGGAAAAGCTCTCCATGTCTCTGTTGAATTGTCTCGGGAGAATCAATATTATAAATTCGAAGTTTTTTCTCTTGTTCGATAAAGCGCATTTTTTTAAAAAAATTTTCACTATAAATATAGGCGCTATGTTAGCGTTAGCGTCACACGATGTCTCACGTTCGTAAGCGAAACAACAATAAAGGCTCCGGTCTTATTAACTCTGTTATAAATCATTTACCCGTGGAATTACATTTACCCGGTTATAGGTAAGTCGCTACAATATATTATGACTAATAAATCCGTTTTAAATTGTACGAATAATTGTTTATAGATTTGCCGGTCCCGGAACCAAATTGAAACAAAGATTAGCGCGAGGAGAACGTGGTATAAACAGACTTGACGAGTTGGCCAGAGCGCACGACATCGCATACGAAGAAAGTAATTCGCTAACTGATCGACATAGAGCAGACGAAGTATTAGAAAATCAGGCTTGGGAAGTGTTTAAATCTAAAAACACAGGTATCAAGGAAAAAGCGGCGTCTTGGCTAGTCACTACAGCCATGAAAGTCAAACGTAAACTTGGAGCTGGTTGCGAATTTAAACAAATGGTTTTGGCTGCTAAAAATTCCATCAAAAATAAAATGAACGAAAATAATATTACAAAATTAGTAAGAACATGTCTGTCAGCTGCGAAAAAAATTAAAAAGAATAAAAATAAGAAAACTAAAACACCAAGAATTATACCAATACCGAAAAAAGGTGGTGTTCTACCTTTAATTCCTATTTTTGCTGGTTTATCAGCATTAGGCGCGCTTACCGGTGGAGTAGGTAATATAGTAAAAGTCGTGAAAGAATTAAATTCTGGAAAAAGCACTCCTATTCATTTAGGCAAAGGATTATATCTTACTCCTCACAAGGGTAATTCTTATAAAATCGTAAAAGGTAAAGGTTTATACCTAGCACCACACAAGGGCGGTTCGGTTAAGAAATCAAAAAACTGATTTCTACGTTACCCGATAGAGCGTTGTACGATTATGAGATTATAAAATACGCTGACATGTTGAAAATTCCTCATTTCATCGGTGTATTTGCTAGAGACAAGTTACCTCGACGAGCAAAACATCAAGAGTCAGCTGTAGTTAATTTAGACATCGAAAACGGTACAGGTACTCATTGGGTAGCGTATAAGAAAATCGGAAAAAAAAGTTAAATATTATGATAGTTATGGAAATTTAACACCACCGCTAGAATTACAGAAATATTTCAACGGTTGCAATATCGAATATAACTACGAGAGACATCAGAAATATAACACAACAAACTGTGGTCATCTGTGCTTAAAATTTTTATCATGTACACTATAACGTTAACCGGTAACTCTAGCGAATTGTCATGTGACTTTTTTCCACCGATAGAAGTCAGTAAAAATGCAAAAATCTGTCTGTTAGGTTTTCAAACGAATAATTCTATTCCTAACGTAAACGAAAAGTGTAATAAAATATGCTTCACATACAGTAATGATAACAATATGAATAGCGACAGCTATGTAATACCTACCGGCTCTTATGAGTTGAATGAAATTGAAGCAGCTATAAAACGTGTATTGCATAATACAGATACTCTATTCGAGTTGAGAGCAGATAATAATACACTAAAATGTACAATGTTTTGTAGTGAAACTGTAGATTTTCGTATGACTAATAGTATAGGACAGTTGTTGGGGTTCAAAAATCGTAAATATGCTGCTAATATCAAACACGAATCAGATACGTTGGTCAATATTACCAAAACAAACTGTATATATATCGATTCAAATCTAGTTATGGGTTCATTCGTCAACGGTAAGCAGTGCCATACAATCCACGAGTTCTATCCGAATGTTCCTCCAGGCTATAAAATAATAGAGGTACCAACACATTTGGTTTTTTACTCCATTAATTCTACATCTATAACACACGCAAGTATAATTTTAAAAAATCAGGACGACGAGTTGATCGATCTACGGGGCGAACCGGTATCAATACGATTATTAATTCAAGACTCGTGATGGGGCTTCAAAATTACAATATAAATAGGGGTGTATATGAAAAACCCGTTAGTCGTGTTAAAAACACTAACAAGGTAACAACTCCGAAGAAGAAAAAATATTCGATACGAAAACAGACTAAACATAGTCTAACACCTGATAATTTGGCTTTT